CACACACACACACACACGCACACAAACATGCACGCACGCACACAGTTTGGGTCGGAACCGCTTAGGCTGTCTGTGCCTGGTGCAACCACCCTATTCCGCCCACTCTCCTTTTCTGCCCACTGCTCATGCGCATGCTCATCAGTGACCCTGCCACTACCTTCAACAGCTCTTACCTTTTGATACCATCATCACTTCATGAGAGAAAGTGGTAAAAAGTCCCCATTCTTCTAACATTTCTTTACATTTCATTAATATTATAAAAAATAATTGACTTGGAGAAAATTTGTAAAGACCATTTTAAGTTGGTAGTCATCATCAATGAGTTTTGTACATGTCTTTTTATGTCTAGTTTATCACATCAGGAGTCTGCATAGTAAAAACAGCAAAGAATCCAACTCGAACCCTGGTAAGTTGAAATGTTGGGGTTTTCCCTAGAAATGACCTGTCACAAAATTAATAGGTTTACTAAAAAAATGATGTTTAAACCATGAAGGAGTCTTCCCTCCCTGTAAAATACATGTAATTAAATGAAAATCCTGTTACCACATAAATTCATGTAAGCACGTAGGCAGTAATACTTAAAATCATGGCTATCTTACATAAGCATTTCTAAATTTAAAGGTAGTTTTGTGTTACATTCTACCTCTTAGCATTGCATGACTGAGACTAGAAAAGTTATAAGACCAAATGCCTTTATGCATATTCATTATAGTGCTATAAAAGTTCATTTTCAGAACCATCCAGTTTGGAAACAGGATTGTATCTTGTAACCAAATAGGTAACCAAATATCTGTTGAGAAAAAAAAATCCGTGGTATAGGTGGAAAGATATTGGCAAGAAAAATAATCTCAGAATTATAGAATTGCAAAACAGTCACAGAACCTTAGAGCTAAAATAAGTTTGGTTCTTACATACCATGGAGTACTACTCTGCCATAAAGGACACATTTGAGACATCCCTAGGAAAGTGATGCACCTTGCGACAGTAACGCTGTGGAATCTGCCAGCCACACAAGTTTAATACTGCATGGCTTCTTTCATGTGGGGAACCCAAGATATAAATAAAGAGCAAAATAAAAGATGGATAACAGCAAGTAGGGAGCAAACTGCCTCTCAGAAGGGAGGGGATCTGGATGTGGAAGGAGGAAG